CCAGTCCTGCGACTGAAGGGGTCACCCTGTTTAAATATCGATTATTATTATTATTATTATTATTATTATTATTATTATTATTATTATTATTATTACCAATTCTAAAAAAACACATTATCTCCTGTGACATTATTTTTGGCTCAATAACCTAAAAGGTATCGCAAAAGTTCCCACTGTGGACCTTTTGGGGCTTCAATCAATCAATTTAATCTTTATTTAACATCCTCTGAGGTACCAAGACCGCTTTTTAACCCCTCAAAGGTATGACGAACACTTCGGTCCTTTTTATCTGGGAATTCCCCTCGGGCTGTCCTAAGTGTCGCTGATCGTAACGATTAGAAACTTCGTTAACATCGTCAATTAGCGATGTCAAAGTAGCCGTGGATCCATGTGGCATGGTTAGCCGAATGGATCTGCTGATTTAATGTTCTGTTCCTGTTCTGTACCTGTATTGTGACAACATGGGACCCAGGTCAACCTGAAGATCGAAGGTGCCGAGGTAGTCAGTATAAAGGAGATCAAAAGGTTTTCGTTCCGTTCGCCTTGCACAGGTGTTGTCGGGTGTTTCGACTAACGTTCTGGGGAGAAAATATATGTAAGTGATATAGTTAAAAACTGTAAATACAGTGGAGCCCCTATAATTAAGCGGCCACCTATTAAACGGCCAGTAAAATAATCAAAGTCCCGACGAGGGCTTTTCTACTGTTTTTACCTCTATTAAGCGGGCAGGCCCCTTTAAGCGGCCTTCATCCATTTGCCCGAGGATGGCCGTTTAATAGGGGTTGAACAGTACGTAATTATATTTCTCGTGTACCTTTTATTTTAGCGAGAAGCGGAAACAAACCCTTCGCTTGCAATGAATTTTCGCTCAGATTTCTTTCTCCTCTCTCGCTGTTTTACCACTTCTCTAGCCGAGAGAAAGAAGAAACGACTTTCAATTCACCAAATAACCGTGGAAAGAAAGATGAAAAGACCGCATGCCAAACTAATATAATTCGGACTGTATTATTCTATTGGAATAAATCGTTCGAGATCAGTTGGTTGAATAAGCTTTTTGCGCTCTGTTGGAATAAGAACATTTTCGTTTGGTTCCACTGATTAATTTTTTGAGAGCTTTTTTTTTTAATTGCAATACTACACTTTACGTAAAATTTTACAAAAAACTACTTACATCACTTTCTATCACTACTTACAAATTACAAATTACAATACCAATCAACATTGTTTACAACACTAAAATATAACAAACTTTTTTACAGGAGTTAATTCTAAATACCAACGATATTACTAATAGGGCCAAAAAATAATAATAATAATAATACAACTAACAGATACAATACTACTACTGCTGCTAACACACTATTCTAACAACTGATGAAAGTAGATATGAGTGGAAAATGCCGGCACTTCTGTTGGAAAGCGTTTTGTGCTCCCGTAATAATTGAAACATGTTTTTCTACTTTTAAATTGCATCTAACCTGATTAACGTATTCTATTAAGGATGGTCGAACATTTTTGCACTTTCAAGAGTAAATGTAAAATCTACCAAGTAGTAAACAATGATTGAATAACAAGGCGTTTTTCTCTCCTTTGAGACCTAGACATTGGCAAAAAGTTAAAACTTGTGAGGCTGGTATTAAATCAACAGAGACGAAAAATTGTTTAACGCTATTCCAAAAGGCTTCTGTGATCGGGAATTCCCAGAAAAGATGAAGCAACGCTTCTTGTGCTGTTTGACAAAAACAACAAAGATTTGATTCCGAAAATTTAATTTTAAATAGAAAAGAGTTTGTAGCTATTTTCCTGTGTAGAAATTTGAAATGGAAGTTCCTTAATTTCGTGCTTAATGTACATATCCTAGGTAGTAGATCAATTGACTCCCAGTCCAAACTTTCCACATCGTCGAGTTCACAGTCTCTAATCCATTTCTTTTGGCTTTTTTCTGGGGGAGTACATTTTTTGGTCATGAGGATTTTGTAAGCTACCTGACTTGGTTTGTTGGACTTAAGCAGTACATTTTCTAGAATTTTTTCTGCTGGCAATGTCAATTTCAGAGATCTAGTAGCACTCCTGATAGCCGAGGCTACTCAACAAAATTCAAGGAACGAAACTGGAAAACAAAACTTATCTTTGAAACAACTGTAAGACATATTTCTTGAATCACTTGTCATCAGATCGTTAATTTTCATCACCCCTGCATTAGCCCAGTGTATGAAATATTGTCTTGCCTGCGATTCTGATCATTGAGTTATTCCAAATATGACCAGCACTGAAATTAGCTTGAGAGGCAAAGGAATCCCTACAATTTAAGTCCGTCCACAGTTCAATAAGTTCCTGGATGAAATCATCTTTTAAATGAAGTTTTTTGGCATCTTTTGGTGCCAAATTACCGAGAAAAACTAATTTCCCGCCTACCTTAGATAAATGAAAGTCGAAAAAGCACTTCCATTTAGATTTGCAGTCGTTTGAAATATACGTAAGTATCCATGAAATTTTCAAGGCTTTATTAAATTCTATTATGCCTAGTATCTTCTGTCCTCCATCCTGGTAATCTGCTATCATTTCAGTCCGCTTAATTTTGTCGCCCTTGTTATCCCAAAGAAATTTAAAAAGAAGATTGTTTGTTTCTTTGAGCGATTTTGAACATGACGTTGTTGATGACAGAATATAAACAAATTGTGATGCAGCTAGAGCCTTAATAACTGCAATTTTACCAATTAAAGTTAATCTCTTGTTTCTCAATTATTTAAGATATCCTCTACCTTACGAACCTTCTCTTCGTAATTCTTCTTCTTACTTTCTTCACAATCAATGCAGAACCAAACACCTAAAGCCTTAACCTTGCCATCCACCCATTTCAGATTTTTATCAGAGCATATAATCTGGTTGGATCCTTTCTTGGAGCCGATCCAAAGAGCTTCAGTTTTTTTCAATGTAAGGCGATAGCGGACACCCCTGCCTTACACCTCGACTTAATTCAAAGAAACCCGCTGACCAACCGTTATTTATAACACAGCTTTGAATATCACAATAAAACAAATTGATCGACTTAATTAAAGAAGAGCCAAAACCAAAATGGTGGAGTGTTTACTCAACAAATGCCCATTCGAAGGCTTTCTCAAAGTCAACAAACAGAAGTAACCCGGAAATATTCGTTGATTCTGTGTATGAGATGACCGTAGACATTGTTAATCAAGCAAATGTTTTCTGCAATAGATCGTCCTTTCAAGAAACCCGTTTGGTCGTTGTCTACTAAATTTTGCAAAACAGCCTTGAGACGTGAAGCAATCGCCTTGGATGCAATTTTGTAGTCATAGGTTAATAAAGTTATGGATCTCCAGTTTTTCAGTTCTTGTAGTGCTTTGTCTTTCTTTGGGATAAATGAAATGAGGGTTAAAGCAAACTTACCCTTCTGATGGCTTTTGTTAAGACAACGTATAAGAAAAAAAAGAGACATCCTTCGAAAAAAAACTTTATAAAATTCGGCAGGAAGGCCGTCCGTTCCGGGCGATTTACCGGGTTCCATTGTTTTTAGTGCCTCTAAGCATTCTTTTTCAGTCAATAGTCCTTCGCATTTTTGCTTATCAACATCATTAAGGGAAGGGTGTTCCTGGCCGAAAAACAAGTTGTCAGAACATGACGTCACCGTGGGTTTTTTTGAGGCGTAAAGCCGACTATAAAAAGAATTGCATTCTTTTAAAACATCTGGGTCGTTTGTAGCATATGAACCGTTGCTCGTCTTAATCTGCGTTATTGATTTCCTCTTACAGTGTCTATTTTCTAAATCCAAGAAATATTTGCTATTTTTCTCACCTTCGTTGTACCATCTGACCGTATATCTAATTATGGCCCCTTTTGTTTTGTTCTGTATAATATTTTCCAATTCGTTTTTCTTGCACCTTATTTGTTCCTCAAGGACATCTTTATTGTTTACGCCCTGTTCTAATTGCTCTTCTATAGGGCGGTTAGTGCACTTTCAATATTGGCCTCTTCATTTTTCATCTTCTTCATTTTGACTTTGGAATATTTCATTGAGGCATCTCGAATTTTAAGTTTTATCATTTCCCACAGTAACACTTCATCGACTTCTTCATCGCTTTCGTACTCACTGGCTGTTTCGGCTACTGTTGACTTGATAGTGTTGACGTAATCAACTTCACTCAAAAGTGCGGAATTTAATTTCCAGAAACCGGGTCCTCTGGGATTGGAATTGTAATTGATGTCAATTTTACATAACCAGTGGTCTGTTTTGTACGCCGGAAGAATATCAGCATTTGAAATTCTTCCAGCGATGCTTAAACCAACCAAAAAGAAATCTTGACGGCAATGCACTTCTGGTCTGTTCCTTCTCCAAGTATATCTTTTTGCGTCGGGGTTTAAATCTCTCCATATGACCGTCAAATCCAAATTGGTCCTGAATATATTTGAGCTCTTTAAGAGAACTCCAGTGTGTAGTTTGTTTCCCACCTGTTTTGTCTTTTGAAACATCCAAAACAAGGTTGAAATCTCCGCCCATAATAATTTCATCACATTTAAAAGGCAGCATTTGTTCACTCACATTTTTAAAGAAAGCTGGATCATCTGTGTTTGGAACATAAATGTTGCAGAGAGTCAAGGTCAGCTCACCAACTTCCAAATCAACAATAATGAATCTGCCCTCTTTATCACAAAGCTGCCTCAAAATTTTAAAAGAAAAGTTGTTATTGAAAAGAATGGCGACAACTACTTTGTTATTCGCCAAACCACTGAATAAAGCTGTATAACCCCACTCAGCAGCCCAAACCCCAGAAGACTTTTCCGTACAATGAGCTTCTTGCAACATGTAAATAGAAATTTTTTTCTTTTTGAGCCAGTGGAATACTTCGCTTCTTTTTTCATTATTAACCAAGCCTCGAACATCGAGCGAAGATATGGTTATTTTAGACATCTAAAAATAAAACAACTTAGGTAAATGTGACTAGATACTCCGATATTTGCATAAGTTATTTGTAAGATCTTAGGCCCTTTCGCGTAACTTACCCAACTAATAGAAATAAAAGACAAGAAAAAACGAATAGTTACATAAATTGATGAAAACATAAAAATATACTTAGTTTGGGTCCGGCTTCAGTAAAGGCTCCAGTAAAGACACATGTAAATGATCACGGTTGCGGCAAGTCTGTCTTGAGTTACTCGAGACACTGTATTTATGCTGTCTCTGGATATTGTACACTTGGTCTTTATCTTATACCATTAATGTACGGTTTATCGTAAACCAGTTTTGTGTCTTGCCCCTCCTTCTTTGCTTCTTTCATCACTTTGACTAAACCCTTCCGTATTTCAACGATCTCTCTCGGAAAATCCTGTGAAATGCCATAATTTGTTTCCGCCACTGTACGGGCACTTGATAGTAGAGAGGTTAAGCATGACGTTAACGGCAGACGGCAAACGGCAAAGACAACTTCCGATTTTGAGTTCTTTTCTTCTAATCCGTAAATAAAGCTCACAAAAATGGAATAACGTCTCCTACTATTCATTGCAAATACAAATAATTTCACTCTACTATACACAAAGCTGAAGAGAGACGGCAAAAGTTTCA